CATTATGAACATGCTATATTCTTCCATTTATTTAGGACTTCTTTAGTTTCTCTCAATAAAGCTTTAAGATTTTTAAATGTGGCAATCATGCCAAATTTTGTTAGATTTACTTCTAAGTATTTAATATGTATGATGTTACTTGAAAGATTAGTTTTTATTTTTTAATTTTTTTATCTTTTGTTTCTCCCTTTTATTTTTTTATTTAAATTCAATTAATTAACATATAGTGTATTACTAGTTTCAGAGGTAGAGTTCAGTGATTCATCAGTCTTATATAACACCCAGTCCTCATTACATCATGTGCCTTCTTTAATGTCCATCACCCAGTTACCCCATCCCCCACTCCCCGCCCCCCCAGCCACCCTTAGTTTGTGTCCTATGATTAAGAGTCTCTTGGGACACCTGGGTGGCTCAGTTGGTTAAGTGTCTGCCTTCAGCTTAGGGTCCCGGGACTGAGTCCCACATCGGGCTCCTTGCTCAGCAGGGAGCCTGCTTCTCCCTCTGCAGCTCCCCCTGCTTGTGCTCTCTTTCTAACAAATCAATAAATAAAATCTTTATTTAAAAAAGAGCCTCTTATGCTTTGTCTCCCTCTCTGATTTCATCTTATTTTATTCCCCCCTTCCGCTATGATCTACTCTGTTTTGTTTCTTAAATTCCACATAGGAGTGAAATCATTTGACAATTATCTCTCTCTGATTGACTTATTTTGCTTAGCATAATACCCTCTAGTTCCACATCATTGCAAATGGCAAGATTTCATTTTTTTGATGGCTGAGTAATATTCCATTGTATATATATACTACATGAAAGATTAATTTTTAATTCATTTCTACTGGTTGCTGGTATATACAAACATGGCTGATTTTTACATATTGACCTTGTACAACAACTCTGTATCAAGGATTAATTCTGATATTTGTAGTTTCCTTTATATTTTTAATGGACAAAAATCATGTCATTTTTAAATAGCAACCCAGCATTTCCAAAAGACTGGTGTTATTTCTTTGGTAAAGATTTTGGAAAGATTCAATGGTGAGGCCAAATGAGCGTACGTTTTTCCTTGTGAGAAGGATCTTGATATGAATCTCTCTCTCTCTCTCTCTCTCTCTCTCACACACACACACACACCATTCAGTTCTGTCCAACTCACTACATGTGGTTTAATTATGATTTTATCCTACTCTTTGGGATACACGAGAGAAAAAAAAACCCTCTAATTCTTAGTCAGTGTTTCTCACATATTTTTCATGAAAGTGCTTCTAATAATTTGAAGTCTCAGTATTTTTCTTACAAATTTTATAAAAGTTTTCATTTTCTTCTCCAAAAAAATATTTATTTTCTTGGGGAAATAAAGCTGCAAATAACTAGTCGACCCTGGAACAATGTGTGGGTTTAGGGAACTGACCTCTGCATAGTCAAAAATCTGTGTATAACTTTTGACTCCCCAAAAACTTAACAGCTCACAGCCTGCGGTTGACCAGAAGCCTTACCGATAACACAAAGAATTGATTAACACATATTTTGTATGCTGTATGTGTTATATTCTGTACTCCTCCAAGAAAGTAAGCTAGAGAAGAGAAAATGTTAAGAAAATCATGAGGAAGCAAAAATACATTTATAGGACTGTCTTGTATTTATTGGGGAAAAAATCTGCATATAAGTGGACCCACACAGTTTAAACCCATGTCATTCAAGGGTCAACTGTATTGTTAAGGGCAACAATACTGCAGTGAGTTGTACAGTCTTCACACCCAGGGCCTTAGTGCTCTCAAAGTACCTCATACCACCTTGGGTATGCTATTCCCCTTTAGAGAATCAGAGCTGATTCTAACAAGGCCCAGAGTCAAGGTCATGCCCCGCTCACACGCATGAAGGAAGAGCATGCACGCGTGCAGAACAGAGTCTCCTGATTTTTAATATCACAAGTGTTCTGAGACTAAGAGGCTTAAGTGGAATGAGTGCTGTGAACCTCACCTCTGAGGTGCCCCTGTCTCCAGAGCAAATCTGAAATCCTGAAAGTCCATATAAATAACATTTGCTGTTTGTGTCACTGGGAGAAAGAAAAACAACAACAACGACAACAGTGCCACACAAGCCATTTTATCAAAAGAAAATCCTTGGGAGATTGAGCTATACAAGTCACCAAAGTGAATATATTAAGTCGTACTTGATTTGTGATCATTTATTTATATCCCATGCATTCTTGGTTTCAAACTTTTGCACCTTTGATGCAATTGACTTTGGCAGCTTGCAACTGATCTGTAGTTTTCCCTTTGTTGGGAGAAGGAAGTATTTAATGCTACAGGTGAAGACATTAGAGCATGCAGAGCAAAGGCCTGTCTCCTGAGATCGGGACTTACAACCTTCATATTCCGTCCAGTCTACGTCTAATTTTGTCTAAGGCATTGTTTTTGATGTCCTACAATCTTTGAGTCCACATGTAATATTTTCTTATAACAACATTGTTTTGTGTATGTGGGTGGCAGAGATGGACAACCATAAATTATTCACTAATCTCAGTTAATTATTACAGAGTATTCAAGTTCAACAGAAACCCTTCTCATTTTTCAAGCCAATCTTTTGGTAAGAATTCCAAACACCATTTAACCTGTCAAGGTTAAATATTATAGATGGCAGAAGGCCTTTCTATCTGGTGAATATGTTATATGATTAGGCTCATTTAAACTTCTTTCTACTTGGTACTCCTGAAAATAAGAAGTTGTTGATGTTTTGACATAATTGGATCAAAATCTTTTTTTTTTTTTTTTTTTTTTTTTTTGACAGAGAGAGAGACACAGTGAGAGAGAACCCAAGCAGGGGGACTGGGAGAAGGAGAAGCTGAGCAGCGAGCCCGATGCGGGGCTCCATCCCAGGACCCCGGGACCGTGACCTGAGCCGAAGGCAGACGCTTAACGACGGAGCCACCCAGGCGCCTGTGGATCAAAACCTTTTAATACAAATCCTTCTTGAATCTGGTTTTAGAAAACATATTTATGCTCCTTCTAAGAATCTCTAGTATTCCATTTCCCAAATCCTGCCCTTTGCCATCCCATGCTGTCTATCAAAGTAAGAATCCTTAAAATTTTAGCATATGCACACCAATAAGGAATTAATTCAAGAACAAACCAGTGACCACCACAGGGGAGGGAGTGGGGGACAGGAGGGACGGATGAAGGGGATTAAGAGATACAAACTTTCAGTTATAATATCAATGTCATGGAGATGGTAAAGAAGAATTAATCCAGATAATTTCTAAACAGAGTCCACTGACTCTCTACCCTGACTGGGATAAATCCTAAGCACAAACAGACCTACAAAGAAAAATCTTGAACTGTACTCAGTAGGCTTCATGCTGGTGGTGATATAAATAGAAGGTCTCCAGAGTGTATGATGGGAAGGAACAAAGAAATAAAAGTGCTGATGGCATTGGATTATGTACAGCAGAGATGGGGAACAGTGCGGACAAACACAGAGACCAAAAGAGATAAAGCAAAAATGGCAAAATGTTCATGAAAGGTAAATGTAGTGAAGGGTCTACACTTGTTCATTGTACAAGCATTTCAAGTTTTCTGTGGGTTTGAAAGCTTTACCAAGTTTCAAGGACTAGAACTTCCTCAGAGATTGAAATCACATCTTCCCATCTTTTGGAAAAATCCAAACACAGATACTCTTTTGAGTGCCAAAGTGTTGTTTCTTATCGTGTTCGGCAAGAGACAGCACACAGTATTTGGATATTTAAGGTAACCAAATATTCGACACCCCACATTTAAGCCTTCCATTGAATAGCACTGACTCCATGAGAGGTAACTTGTGCAGTACGCTTCCCTGTCCACGAGCAGGTACTGCAGCCTGGACAGGAGCCACCCTGATCTCCTGATGGACGCCAGGTGCCCACTGGCTCCTCAGCAGGCTTGCTTCGCCCCACACCCCCTCGAGGGCCGCCGGCCTCTCTACCTGCCTCCCCTTCCCCACCCCGACTCCATTCCTGCCAGTCCTAACTGACCCTCCCAGAGATTCCCCCCAGACACTAACAAGAGCTGTGGCACCGTCCGCCACCTACCAAGCCCGCATCGCAGGGCCTCCTGCTTGGGCCAGTAACCCCCGCAGTGATGAGCTGACCACCTCTCGAGCCGACCACCTTCTCCGAAATGCTCAGGTCAGGGAAATGCTCCCATCTTTCTGAGCCAATCTGTGGCTCTGACCTTGAGGCCTAGCACCACGCCCTGGGGCCACACAGACACCACCCAAGATCCCTCCTTCAGGGAAGGGACTCAAACTCTTAAAGATGTGATCATGAATCCAGAGTCAGCTCGCTTCCAACTCAACTACCTCATCCAGCCGCCCTCTCGAGCCATCATTGGTAAGCGAGGGAATGCACTGGGAATGCACTCTTGTCAAATACCCTCTTAAAACGTGATGCCCAGAACAGCGCTCAGTGCTTCAAGGTACAAAGTCATTCTCGTTATTTAGGATGTGGAAATGCTCTCCCTTTATAAATTATGATCAAGGACATCTTGCCATTTCTTTTTCATAAAGCAGATGAGGCTTTTGATCTACCACGGCTCTCACTGGAGAGGGGGTGCTCTTCCTGCCTAATTTACTTATGAAAAATATTTAATTATGTCCAAAGTTTAATTCACTTAGTAATGAAAAGTAAACGAGCCCAACCAGCATGTTTGATTTGTCTTGGAAAGAGAGAAACTGCTTTGCAAGAACAAAGTTAAATGAAAGTAAGGGACTCTCCTCACTCTGGAAATTGAATTTCTCCCCCAAGCGCTTCTTGGGTCTTCTATAGAGCACGGGGCTGACACCAGCAAGAGCGCGCACGCCTCCGTGCACAACAGCTCCCAACTGTCCCCCTGGGGCCCCCGACTGTGCGGACGCGCGTTCAGACACACACATGCATGCATCTTTCATCGACCACGAAGCAGGCAGTGAACTTGGGGTGAACTGGGAGGCAGGTGGGAAGCAGCCCTGCGCTCGACCTGCGGCTCACGTACCATTTTTGCAGATGGGGCAGCACTGGTCAGGCTCGTACACAGGGTCCACACACTCCGTCTGAGGACACGCCGACACGGTGCACAGCACCTCCCCGTTGGCTTCGCAGCGGCACCGCTCACACGGAGACACCTGAAACACAAGCCCACGGTCAGGGTCAGACCTCCCGCCATCCTCCCCATACAAACTCACGTCTTCCCTCCCGTCCGACTTTCTGTGAAGACGCCCAAATGTTTTAGGAATGTGAAACGGGATCCAGCCCGGTGGTTTGCAAAGGGCAAAGCCAGGGTGCTGGAGCAGAGCGGGTTTCCCTCGGAAGGACCCTTGTCCACAGCGCTGCCGGGTGCCACCCAGCTAGCCCGGGACACTGCCACACCGGAGCTGAGCAGATAGCAGAGGGGGATGGGACGGGCCAAGGCAAGGAGGTACCTGGCCAGGAGGTGGCTGAAGATGACCTCACGTAACCCTCACAGCAGCACTAAAATACCTCTCTCGGATTCTCGCCCTGTGTACTGATGAGGAAGCAGAAGGAGGGAATGCAGCTTGCCAAGGGACCCAACTCCAGAGCTCAGGCAGGCGCTCCCTCTCTCCCCCACCGCCTCCAGGGGGCCCTCCCTCTGCCACCCAGGGCGCTGGAGCCTTCTCTGCACTGCACTGGGCCAAATTCTACCTCTCGGATCACTCCAATCAAGCACAATGGAATTCCTGGAAAGGCTGCACGCCACCAACTTGATCCTGCCACAGTGACATGCAGGCTGTGATGCGGATGATTTTTTTTTCCTGGAAATCACCACTAGAGTGATTTTCCATCGGGGTTGACCCAGGACAAAGCAGAAACGGCATATGCAGAGCCAGCAGCCAGAAGCAGAAGCCGCTACATGGAAATAGACGGTTTAAAAGATAGTGGAGGTGGGGGGGGGTTGTCAGGCTGAGCGCCCTGGGCAGGGGGGGTCCTGGGCACTCTGCATACCACACCCTGACCAACCAGCACTTGTAAGGGAGAGAACGCTCCCTTACAACACTCACGGATGCCTCCTCCGTCTAGCCAACGCCAAAAATTAACAACTCAAATATCTACCAAATACACTGGTAATCTCATGAAGCAAAAGCTCAGTTTGTATTTAAACGTAAAGGCTTTTGTCCAGCTCTAGACCACTGTCAACCTGGCTGGGAGTGAGGCCTGAGGTGTATCTGTGTGAGTGTGAGTGTGTGTGGGTGTGAGTGAGCGGCCCAGGGTAAAATGTTGAGCTGGTGTGCAGGACAGCCTTAGAAGCTGAAGCCAATCTTGCAACAACACAAGGGCGCATTTCCAGGAGCGCCTTGGGCACCATGAGGCTTTTTTGCTACTGTAGCGAACTTTGCTTTTTGTTGCTACTGTCTTTTCTTTCTGCCGGCTACTAATTCCCCCTTCAGCCTGTAGCATCCTTCTGTCGAGGGTGGATTTACTTAGCAAGCAGAATAAGAAAAGGATCGTGAGTTTTAAAAGCAGAGACCTTGAGCTGCAAGAGACATGGTTCCTTGCGTGTCTGAGCCTTCAGTGCAAGGACTCGGACCGAAGCCACACAGCACAGACAGGGTGGATTAGATGGTGGGGAGCCAGGCCCCCTGGCCCCAGAAGAGGTAAGGACAGTCCCATCTAGAGGGCAGGCTCGTCCGAAAGGAACAAGAGGGTCAGCAATCATTGGGGTCTGTCCTCAAGAAAGGGGCACAGCCTGGCACCACCCCACGTAGGCTACACTGCAGGGATGCAGGAAAAAGCTCCACTTTGGTTTGGGAATTTGAAAGAAGGGGAGACCAGGCCTCCCGGCTGTCCCTGAGGAGAGCTCCAGGAAAAACCACAAAGGAGCAGGTGTGGGTCACAAAGACTGGAGACACTCGGGAAGCAGGACTAGAGGCGGCCTCACCCTGCAGCTCCCCACACAAGGGAGCACATCCTGCGCAAGACAGCCCAGAACCTCCTGCTCCTGGCTCGGCAAGCTCACAGTGTCCACGGCACAGAGCGAAGCTCAGACCATGGATGCCCACAGCCTGGACTGCTACCTTCTTAAAGGTTCTGCAACTTGATCAAAAGTTCTACTGTGAGTTTTGCTATCACAAAACATTTAGAAATCCTGATTCAGCTCTTTGGAGATGTGTTCATGTCTCAAAAATATGAGTTGAGGTGTGCCTGGGTGGCTCAGTCGGTTAAGCATCCGACTCTTGGTTTCAGGTCAGGTCATGATCTCAGGGGTCCTGGGATCGAGCCTCAGGTAGGGCTCCATGCTCAGCGTTGAGTCTGTTTGGGATTCTCTCTCCCCCTGCCCTGCCCCCTGCTTGCTCGCTCTTTCTGTCTCAAATAAATAAACCTAAAATAAATATATATATATATACACATACATATGAGTTGAGGCTCAGAAGCAGGACCACCACAAACCAGAATGTCACACTCAGGCCTCACCTCCTACCACCTGCTCTGCCTGTCCTCACCACACCCCACGCGGGGCTCCTGTCCCTCACACAGGAGGTTCAGCTCTGCTGAGTCCCACACAGAGCCAGGCGGCCAAGCCTTGCCCATCCCCCGAGATGACGCCGTGTCCGCAGCAGTCCCACCTGGGCAAAGGCCCCCACACGCTGTTCATAGGAATCCTGCCTGCTCTGAGTCAGAGCTCCCCGTCTGATCACGGTTCCCGGGAGCCCTGCCCAGGACGGGGGTGACCTAATAGAACTCTCCAGTGTCCCGTCGGTGGGCGGGTCCCAGGGCATGGGGTGGCCCCAATCCCGCCCCAGAGACCTCCCGCTGGGCCCCTCTGCCCGTCTCTGCGTGTCTGGCTCTGATCACTGAGGGTCAGGCTTCACCCAACTCTCCGCTGGGAAGCACAGGTGCAGCCGGCCCCTCCCCTCATTAAGCCCATCACCTCATTTCCCACCCATGTGAACTCAGCGGCTGGCCCAGGAAGATGCAGCCACACGAGCTCAGCATCACCGAGTCACAGAGAGGTGTGACAGGACCCCGCTGGGCTCAGGACAGCTGAGGTCTCCCTGCTGCCATGCCCACCCCACCTCTGCACCCCCGACTCCCACACTGGCGCTGTCGCTGGGTCTGTCTGATCCTCAGGAGAGCACCTTCTGCTCGGGCTCCTCTACGGGGGATCCACCAGGGTCCTCCCCAGGCTGAGATGCGGGGAGGCTACCCAGAAGCCTGGAAGCCTCAGCCCAGGGTCTCAACACAGGGCTCGGGTCAGCAGTCATGGGGTGCACCTGGCATTCCGGGTGCCCGTGACCCTCTTTCCGGCTTATTTCATCACGTCACGTGTATGGCTGGAGCCCCCCCTACCCTGCGCCCCCCCACAGCAGCAGGTGCAGGGAGCTGACTCCAGCAGCCAGGACTCTGGTGGAGGTTTGTCTGCCCCATGAGAGGATTCTGACTCTAGCCGCCGGGTCGGAGCAGTCCCAAAGCTACAGAGTCCTCACCCACCAGCACGGGCACCAGAGGGCCTCCTGCCATCCCCGGGGTCTTTGTCCCGCCGTGGAAGCTAAAAGTGAGCGTGCCCTGTGCGTTACTGAGTCTGCGACCAACAACATGAACTCTCCAGGTGCATTTCTGCAGTCAGGCAAGGCAATCCTTTCTCTGCTTCCAAAGCTGTTCGGTCCCCAAAAGACATTTTACCAGGGGTAACCTAACTTTGAAACAGTAGCCCCCTCATTAGCAAATCACAGCCTACATTCTGTATGGCATGCCTTGTGACAGAAATACCCTTCTCTGCCCTCCTCCAGTTACAAACCCAAGTTCTGAATAGACAGAATTTAGACACATGGCCTAGAAGAACAGCTGGGCATGTGAGGAAAAGTCCCCATTCTCGAGGCACCCACTGTGTGCCAGGAGGAGGCAGGACTTGTGTCGGGTAAAGAGAATAGGAACTGGCAGTGAGACTAAAGACAAGTCCCATGGTATTTGTTCAGTCATCCCTGTCCTGAAACCAGACCGATGAAGACCACTTCCGCCATGTTTCTGGAAGGGAAGAGCTGGGCTGGTTAGCAAGAACGGCAGCGGGTCAAGTGCCCTGGGGCCAGCCTCAGATCCAGGGTCCAGGCTGAGGGCGCTGGCCCGGCTTACTCAGCCAAATGATTATCTTCAAAGTGGATCCAAGAAATTTACCCTCAAACCTGAGGCAAAGCAATGAAGGACCGACCGACCCATCTGAGCATGTTCTCAGTGAAGCGACCATAAACACAATGCACAACAGAGGCTCCAGAGAGCTATTAACTTGAGGGTAGCTCATAATTAGGCCCTCGTAATGCTCAGTAATTATACAAATGTCTATATCACATGTACGTTGGCTGTAAGGACCATAAAATAAAGATTGCACCTATTTCGAAACAAATAAGCAGGAACAGGAACCATAATTTATAGGTGAGACAGTTCTCAAATGTGAAATGATGCCTACTGAAATGGATATTGCTTAGGTCGAGTGCCCTGTACAGACAAATTAAAGATCTATACGAGAGTGGGACAGAGGTTGAGTGGGATGCTTCTAAACGAGGAGTATATAAGCAGCTCTATATTTTATCACCTATATTTTACATTAATGAACTCAGCTTCAATGAGGTGTCAATCTGTAGGAAGCACTGCCTTGTATAATTTCGTAACCGTGATTATACTCATTATCACCAGGAGAAGGACCAGGCTCTGAAATATTGCAGAAAGCGCACTGAATAGGGAATCCTGGTCTTGTCTGTGTCCCAAATCTCTTTTCCCTCTGGAGGGCAGAAACTCACTCCATCCTTCCTACAGAGCAGATTCACTCACTGTGCACCAGAAGACCCGCCTTCTTTCCTCAAATCCAGCTACAACACACCCTCCTGTTGTGCTGCCTAAAAGGGCCACTGGCTGGGTGAGAGGCAGACAATGCCATGTGTCACCTGAATCCGGTTGCCTCAGTGACAACCACTGCTATATTCCAATCTGGAACTTTCTGCTGTGGTTGCTGGAGGAGGTGCCATGACACCTGAGTACCACCAAATGCACTGGCTCCTCGTGGTCAGGGGTCAATTCTAGGCTGGATGCAGATGCTTCCTTAGGAACAGACAACTGGGAGGCAGGACAGACCCGAACAACTGTAACATTTTCATAGATGGGATTAATTTCCACACAG